AGGTCTGTGTGAGGACCTCCTCAGGTCTGTGTGAGGACCTCCTCAGGTCTGTGTGAGGACCTCCTCAGGTCTTTGTGAGGACCTCCTCAGGTCTTTGTGAGGACCTCCTCAGGTCTGATCATCTCTCTCTCTCTTCAGTGTCTCCGTTGGAGGTGGAGTCTCGTTCGTCGTTGGAGCAGCGCCCTCTGCCTGTGGGACAGAGTCTGTTCCCTGGAGTCAGTCCTGCAGAGCTCATCGTACGTAACACCTGTCAACACCTGTCAACACCTTCAACATGTCAACACCTGTCAACACCTGTCCAACACCTGTCAACACCTGTCCAACACCTGTCAACACCTGTCAACACCTGTCAACACCTGTCAACACCTGTCCAACACCTGTCAACACCTGTCCAACACCTGTCAACACCTGTCCAACACCTGTCAACACCTGTCAACATACCTGTCAACACCTGTCCAACACCTGTCAACACCTGTCCAACACCTGTCAACACCTGTCCAACACCTGTCAACACCTGTCAACACCTGTCAACACCTGTCCAACACCTGTCAACACCTGTCAACACCTGTCAACACCTGTCCAACACCTGTCAACACCTGTCAACACCTGTCCAACACCTGTCAACACCTGTCCAACACCTGTCAACACCTGTCAACACCTGTCCCACATTATGTTTCAGTGAAGTCCTTGGACATGTTCCACAGTGCGGCTTTAACCCTGTGTGTCTGGAGCAGAGGTCCTGCTCGCCTCTCCACAGACCTCACCTGTGACATGACATAGAAATACAAATGTTTAAAGTCATACTCTGGAACATTTCAGGGGAAAGTAAAAACATGTTGAAAAGTTCCATAGTGCGTCTTTAACAGTGAGAACATGACATGAGAGCGTCAGAGCGTCAGGGCATCTGACTTAATCTGGAAATAAATGTGATTGAAATTTAAGTTTAGTTTTACACAAATCAGGATGAATGTGCATTTTGTGCATTTGTCTAAATATTTAACACCAGTTCGTCTCAGAGTCAAAAGTCAAATCTGAAATCTAAAAATGGGTCAAATATGTGACGTTTCCGTGGAAACGTGACGTTTCACTTTTGTGTCAGGCTCAGATAAAGAGGAAGACGTCAGAGCGCCGCCCGGAGGAGCAGACGAGCGCCGCAGACCAGTCAGAGGAACCGACAGGTGTGCCCCTGTCACACTCCCCCTGCCCCGCCCCCCGACACATGGCAGGAGCAACCATGGTGCTGCCCCCTGTGGGCTCCACGAGGTAAGAACCACACTCCCTGTGTGTCAGGGGCCTCCCTGTGTGTCAGGGGCCTCCCTGTGTGTCAGGTGCATCCCTGTGTGTGTCAGGGGCCTCCCTGTGTGTCAGGTGCATCCCTGTGTGTCAGGTGCATCCCTGTGTGTGTCAGGTGCCCTCCCTGTGTGTGACAGGTGCGTCCCTGTGTGTGACAGGTGTTTGTGTTTCAGTGTCGGTTCTTCTCCTTCGTGGCTTCGAGAACTCAAGTCCAAAAAGAGAATCCAGGACGGAAACTCATAACCAACGTCCACGAGGTGAACAGGAACTGTTCTACTGTTCTGTTCCACTGTTCCACTGTTCTACTGTTCTACTGTTCTACTGTTCTACTGTTCTACTGTTCCACTGTTCTACTGTTCTACTGTTCTTATGTTCTAATGTTCTACTGTTCTAATGTTCTAATGTTCTACTGTTCTAATGTTCCACTGTTCCACTGTTCTACTGTTCTACTGTTCTTATGTTCTACTGTTCTACTGTTCTACTGTTCTAATGTTCTAATGTTCTTATGTTCTAATGTTCTACTGTTCTACTGTTCTACTGTTCTACTGTTCTTATGTTCTACTGTTCTACTGTTCTAATGTTCTACTGTTCTTATGTTCTAATGTTCTACTGTTCTAATGTTCTACTGTTCCAATGTTCTACTGTTCTAATGTTCTACTGTTCTACTGTTCTACTGTTCTTATGTTCTAATGTTCTACTGTTCTAATGTTCTACTGTTCCAATGTTCTACTGTTCTTATGTTCTACTGTTCTACTGTTCTAATGTTCTACTGTTCCAATGTTCTACTGTTCTTATGTTCTACTGTTCTACTGTTCTAATGTTCTACTGTTCTTATGTTCTAATGTTCTACTGTTCTAATGTTCTACTGTTCCAATGTTCTACTGTTCTTATGTTCTAATGTTCTACTGTTCTAATGTTCTACTGTTCCAATGTTCTACTGTTCTAATGTTCTACTGTTCTTATGTTCTACTGTTCTACTGTTATTATGTTCTAATGTTCTACTGTTCTAATGTTCTCTATGTTCTACTGTTCTATGTTCTATGTTCTACTGTTCTACTGTTCTACTTGTTCTTATGTTCTAATGTTCTACTGTTCTAATGTTCTACTGTTCCAATGTTCTACTGTTCTAATGTTCTACTGTTCTACTGTTCTACTGTTCTATGTTCTATGTTCTACTGTTCTAATGTTCTACTGTTCTTATGTTCTAATGTTCTAATGTTCTAATGTTCTACTGTTCTAATGTTCTACTATTCCAATGTTCTACTGTTCTTATGTTCCAATGTTCTAATGTTCTAATGTTCTACTGTTCTAATGTTCTACTATTCCAATGTTCTACTGTTCTTATGTTCCAATGTTCTAATGTTCCAATGTTCTACTGTTCTTATGTTCTAATGTTCTGTTGTTCTGTTGTTGTGTTGTTCTGTTGTTCTGTTGTTGTGTTGTTCTGTTGTTGTGTTGTTGTGTTGTTCTGTTGTTGTTGTTGTGTTGTTCTGTTGTTGTGTTGTTGTGTTGTTCTGTTGTTGTGTTGTTGTGTTGTTCCTGTTACACTCAGACTTGTGTTTGTTTGTTTGTTGTTTGTTTGTTTATTCTGAGTTTGTTACATCTGTAAAACTCCAAACTCTCTGTTCCACCTTGTGATGTCATCAAGTGCTCAGTTCCTTTTCTCTTTAGTTGAGTCGAGATCCTCCACGACTGAAATGTTCCAGATGATTCTAGTGAAGGTGTGTGGAGTTTAAAAACACAGTGGAGCACTTCCTGTATCACCACATGATGACATCACCAGGTGGAACAGAGTGTTTTGTCGTGTTAAATGTGCAGCGTGTGAAACATGTGAATGAAACAAAACAGAACTGAGGATTATGGGACGTTTATTCAGAATAATTGGAGTTTTTTTTTTTTCTCTTTGGTCAGGAGCAGCCCTGTCACCTTCACCTGTCTGTCACCTGTCACCGTCACCTGTCGTCACCTGTCACCGTCACCTGTCACCTTCACCTGTCACCTGTCGCCTGTCACCTGTCACCTGTCACCTTCACCTGTCACCGTCACCTGTCACCTGTCACCTGTCACCGTCACCTGTCCACCTCCGTCACCTGTGTCACCTGTCACCGTCACCTGTCACCTTCACCTGTCACCGTCACCTGTCACCGTCACCTGTCACCTGTCACCTGTCACCGTCACCTGTCACCTGTCACCTGTCACCGTCACCTGTCACCGTCACCTGTCACCGTCACCTGTCACCTTCACCTGTCACCGTCACCTGTCACCGTCACCTGTCACCTGTCACCTTCACCTGTCACCTGTCACCTGTCACGTCACCTGTCACCTGTCACCTTCACCTGTCACCTGTCACCTGTCACCTGTCACCTTCACCGTCACCTGTCACCTTCACCTCACCTGTCACCTGTCACCGTCACCTGTCACCTGTCACCTGTCACCTGTCACCTGTCACCTTCACCTGTCACCGTCACCTGTCACCGTCACCTGTCACCGTCACCTGTCACCTGTCACCTGTCACCTTCACCTGTCACCGTCACCTGTCACCTTCACCTGTCACCTGTCACCGTCACCTGTCACCTGTCACCTGTCACCTGTCACCTGTCACCGTCACCTGTCACCTGTCACCGTCACCTGTCACCGTCACCTGTCACCGTCACCTGTCTCTCTGGAGTCTCCTTTGGTCTCGTGGTTCGTCTGGAGATTCGTTGGAGGAGCTGAAGTGAAACGAGACTGATCCGACCGACAACACAGACGACAGACACAGACGACACGACAACGACAAAACAACAGACGACAAACACAGACGACGACAAACGACAGACGACAAACAACAGACGACAGACGACAGACGACAAACGACAGACGACAAACAACAACGACAAACGACAACGACAAACGACAGACGACAGACAACTACAGACGACAAACAACAGACGACAAAACAAACAGACGACAAACAAAACAGACGACAACAGACGACAGACGACAACGACAAACTACAGACGACAGATGACAAACGACAGACGACAAACAACAGACGACAAACGACAGACGACAACGACAGACAACAGACGACAAACGACAAGACGACAACAGACGACAGACGACAAACAACAACGACAAACAACAGACGACAAACGACAGACGACAGACGACAAACAAAACAGACGACAAACAACAGACGACAAACAGACAGACGACGACAAACACGACGACAAACAACAGACGACAAACAACAGACGACAAACAACAGACGACAAAACAAACAACGACAGACGACAGACGACAAACTACAGACGACAGATGACAAACGACAGACGACAAACAACAGACGACAAACGACAGACGACAAACGACAGACAACAGACGACAAACTACAGACGACAGACAACAGACAACAGACGACAAACAACAAACGACAAACAACAGACGACAAACTACAGACGACAAACAACAGACGACAGACGACAACAGACGACAAACAACAGACGACAAACGACAGACGACAAACAACAGACGACAGACGACAAACGACAGACGACAACGACAAACAACAGACGACACAGACGACAAGACGACAAACGACAGACGACAAACAACAGACGACAGACGACAGACGACAACGACAACAAGACAAACAACAGACGAAACAAACGACAGACGACAAACGACAGACGACAAACAACAGACGACAGACAACAGACGACAAACAACAAACGACAAACAACAGACGACAAACGACAGACGACAAACAACAGACGACAGACGACAAGACGACAAACGACAGACAACAGACAACAGACGACAACGACAGACGACAAACAGACGACAAACAACAAACAACAGACGACAGACGACAACGACAACAACAGACGACAAACAACAGACGACAAACAACAGACGACAAACGACGACAACGACAACAACGACAAACGACAAACAACAGACGACAAACAACAGACGACAAACGACAGACGACAGACGACAAACTACAGACGACAAACAACAGATGACAAACAACAGACGACAGACGACAAACGACAAACTACAGACGACAGACGACAGATGACAAACGACAGACGACAAACAACAGACGACAAACACGACGACAACGACAGACGACAAACGACAGACAACAGACGACAGACGACAAACAACAAACGACAAACAACAGACGACAGACGACAAACGACAGACGACAAACAACAGACGACAGACGACAGACGACAAACGACAGACAACAAACAACAGACGACAAACGACAGACGACAAACGACAGACGACAAACAACAAACAACAGACGACAGACGACAAACAACAGACGACAAACAACAGACGACAAACAACAGACGACAAACGACAGACGACAGACGACAAACTACAGACGACAAACAACAGATGACAAACAACAGACGACAAACGACAGACGACAAACGACAAACTACAGACGACAGACGACAGATGACAAACGACAGACGACAAACAACAGACGACAAACGACAGACGACAAACGACAGACAACAGACGACAGACAACAAACGACAAACAACAGACGACAGACGACAAACGACAGACGACAAACAACAGACGACAGACGACAAACGACAGACGACAAACAACAGACGACAAACGACAGATGACAAACGACAGACAACAGACGACAGACGACAAACAACAAACGACAAACAACAGACGACAGACGACAAACGACAGACGACAAACAACAGACGACAGACGACAGACGACAAACGACAGACAACAAACAACAGACGACAAACGACAGACGACAAACGACAGACGACAAACAACAAACGACAAACAACAGACGACAGACGACAAACGACAAACAACAGACGACAAACGACAGACAACAGACGACAGACGACAAACAACAAACGACAAACAACAGACGACAGACGACAAACTACAGACGACAAACAACAGATGACAAACAACAGACGACAGACGACAAACTACAGACGACAAACAACAGATGACAAACAACAGACGACAAACGACAGACGACAAACGACAAACTACAGACGACAGACGACAGATGACAAACGACAGACGACAAACAACAGACGACAAACGACAAACGACAGACAACAGACGACAGACGACAAACAACAAACGACAAACAACAGACGACAGACGACAAACGACAGACGACAAACAACAGACGACAGACGACAGACGACAAACGACAGACAACAAACAACAGACGACAAACGACAGACGACAAACGACAGACGACAAACAACAAACGACAAACAACAGACGACAGACGACAAACGACAAACAACAGACGACAAACGACAGACAACAGACGACAGACGACAAACAACAAACGACAAACAACAGACGACAGACGACAAACGACAGACGACAAACAACAAACGACAGACGACAAACGACAGACGACAAACAACAGACGACAGACGACAAACAACAGATGATAGACGACAGACGACAAACGACAAACAACAGACGACAAACGACAGACGACAGACGACAGACGACAAACGACAGACGACAGACGAGACCGAGACGGAGACTGAGTCCACAGACCTTTAGGACCACGAGACGAACAGAGACAAATGTAAACAAAGGTTTTTCTCGTCAGATGAAATCGTGCGACTCTGTGTGAGTGAAACTTTCACATCTCCAGGTCGATGCTGCGTCCAGGTTCAGGGTTTGGGTTCTGTTCACGTGTGACACTTTTGGGACGTTTAAAGTTCACACTGGAGATTCACACACAAGGAGCATTGAAGTGGAAATGTGAACGAGCTCAAAACAAAAATCACATTTCACTAAAAAACCTGAACTGAGCTTTAAACCTGCAACTGAACGAAACTAAGACTCAACTCCACATCTGAACATTAAGAACAGACCAATCAGACGCCGTCTTTCCCCCAGGCCCCTCCCACTGGCGTTAGTAACAGGTTTGATTGACGGCGTTGCTAAGGGAAGGGCCGTTACCTTCAGCAGTCTGGCTCCTGATTGGCTCTTTGGTTGCCGTGACGCTCAGGGTCGGATCTAATCGGGAAGAGACTCGGCTCTGGACGAGACCTCAGGGACAAACTCAACTCTACAGTCTTCATTGTGCCTTCCAGGGTTTTCCAGGGTTTTCTAGGTTTTCCAGGGTTTTCCAGGGTTTACAGATTTATTAGAACATGTGAAGACTGAACCTGTTCACACAGAGAAAGT